AATCAAGAAAAGTACCTGTATTAATCCTGTATGTTCCATCTTACATTTCCCTATAATTTAAGTACTTGGCTTGATGGAATAATATAGGCAGTTCGTAGATGTATAAATAGCTTGCCTGGAACTCACTTTTATGCACCATTTTCTTAATCTAATCCATGGACTCTGTGGTGAATAGCATTGGCCTACTGATTTATTTTTTAAATGTCGTTACATTTTTTTTTTTTTTCTTTCCAAGGAGCTAGAGTATGTTGTGTCTAATTGATCTAAAGCTGGAGTGAAAGTCTTTCAGTCCCTGGTCAGCCATCTCATGACTTGGTGAGAACTGTTAAAAACCATGGTACCATGTCCTTCAGTTCAACTTAGAGGTTTTGCTGTAGCACACGCCCCTGTAAGAAAAATGAGCGTGTATGTGATTGAGAAATACAGGAGTTAGGTGCCTAAAATGTGGAGTGGCATCAGCTGCTATGCAAGTTTTCCTAGATAAGAACAGCCAGAAAAACAGGGGTAGAATTGGAACCTTGGAAGGAAAGGTTAAAACCCTCAATCCACGTGCCGCCCTGGCAACAGAAGCCTTTGACCCATGCGTTTTTCATTTGATTGATATATTAGTTTCTAAGAGAACTGCAGCAAAACATCCTTCTTTGTTTATGTTTATGGATTTGGAAATTGTGTTCTTCTGTCAATTTTTTTGTTGTGTACATACACATCCATGTTCTTAATAATAAGAGTATGGTTATTATTTTTTATTAGGTACTATTCCTTTTTATCTATATTAATGGTTTTTGTTTTAAATTCTATTTGTCATTATATTGCTACAAACTTTAATTTTTGTAGTATATAGAATGTTTTTTTGATCTTTTTATTTTGTAATTTTCAGGACAGTTCTCTATAGATATTTATCTTATAACTTGTGCATGTTAGATTTTTCTTAAAAATCCAGTTTGATAAATCTGTTACTTATGAAAGAGTTAAATATATTACATTTATTTTATTAGTTTTATATTTGGGATTCTTTCTACAAGCTTATTTTATTATGTTGTTACGGTTGGCCAATTGTGTGTGTGTGTTTCCTTTCCTTTTTTTTGTCAATCCTCACCCAAGGTTAGTTTTTCCATTGGTTTTTAGATGGAAGGGAAGGGAGGGAAGGACAGGCAGAGGGAGAGAAATAAAGGGAGGGAGGGAGGGAGAGAGGGAGGGAGAGAGAGAGAGAGAGAGAGAGAGAGAGAGAGAGAAACATCGTGTGAGAGACACATCAATTGATTGCCTCCCACATGACTCGGAGCAGGCTGGGGATCGAACCTGCAACCCACGTATGTGCCCTTGACTGGGAATTGAACCTTCAACTCTTTGGTCCACAGGCCAGCACTCTTAATGGCTGAGCCAAATATGCCAGGGCAGGCCAATCGTTTTGTTTGTTTGTTTGTTTGTTTGTTTGCTATGCTCCTGTTATGCATTGCTGCACTGATAGGCAACATAACAATCCTTTCTCCATCTGCAAATTCGGAAACTATAAAATATCATTCTATGTAGCTTATATACCATTATATATACCATTACTTTAGAAATATGCATAATTAGTTCTAATTTGTAAAGTTTCTAATTTCTGTTCTCCAAAGCAAAACGCAGATTCAGCACACTTTAATTATCCATTGAGCATTCTCCTTCAAATATCATTCATTCTTGTCTAGAGTTTTAGTTCTACCATTTTTATGCTCCCAAAGTTATCATTTACTTCTAAAATTAATAGTTAATGTCATCATCTTACATTAAAAAATAGTTTCAGGCTGTCAGGACACTCTTAGAAAAATTAAAAGTGAGCGCCTGCGGCCGCGCGGGCTTCCCAGCAAGGTGCCCGGCTCGGGGCAGGTGGCACTTCCTCCTGGGCCAATGTCAAGGGCAGCGAGGCTGCGAGGAGCTCCGTCCCCGTTTTGTGGCATTAGTGTCCATCACTCCTTCGCCCTTTACTGTGCAACCATTGTTTTCACTCTTCTTTCTGTGCATTTTAAATCTCTGTTAAGGCTATAATTACAAATTAGAGTAGTTCTGTTTTTACTATACAGTACCTGTGCTATTTTTTCCATGAACCCTCTCCCCACCCCCCTTATTTTAGTGCGAGGTTTTTCAGGACTCAAAGTGTGTCAGGAAAACTTCTACTGTCACCCCTCGCCACCTCGGGCTTCCACTTTCGCGGCTTCACTCTGTCGCAGTTTTTTCAAATATATTCATTAAAACGTTGATCGAGACGGTGAAAATGGTACAGCGCGCGCTCGGTTGTCTGAGTCCATTATACACCCCTGTATTACAATTAAAATTACTGTATGTATGGACTGTAGGCCTATGTATTTGAGCACCCCAGGCATCCTTCAAGGCTAGGTGCAACCGCTAGAGTCTGGAATGGATTCACCACGATAAACAAGGGACGACTGTATTCTGTTTAACCAGAAATGCCTACCTGTCCAGGCTGCCAGTAAAGTCACCCTGATTGTGCATCGCAAAACACCTGGGCTTTCCGTCCACGTACAGTATGTTGGGCATTGTGTCCCCTGCTGTTCCATGACCACTAAGTAGTACAAGTGATTACATGGTTAAAAGAATCCAAGTCCTCTGCTGCCCGGCCTGTGTGGCTCAGTGGCTTGAGTGTGGTCCCATGGACTGAGAAGTCTCAGTTCGATTCCCCATCAGGGCACATGCCCAGGTTTCGGGCTCCATCCCCAGTAGGGGGCGTGCAGAAGGCAGACGGTTTCCCTCTTACATCGATGTTTCTTTCTCCCTTCCTCTCTTTCTTAAAAATCAATAAAAACATTCAAAAAAAGAAAGAATTCAAGTCTGCAAATGGCAGTGCTGATCCCCATCCAGCTGGTATGAGCTGTGTAGTGATCTGGCTAAGGCTCAGGAGAGATTCTTACCTGCAGCCAGACCCCAGCTTCAGATCCATACACTGACTACAATTTCCAAAATTGCTTTGAGTCTGGGGAATTAGTCTGCTTTTGGTTAGCAAGCCCACCAATGGCAATCTTAGGTTCAGTGAGATATTTCAAATTTCAAAGACTAGAAGAAGTCTTTGTGGTGCTAGTTTGCCCAACTTTGTAAAAGACTACAGGGCAGGAAAAAAAGGGCAGGATACAGATAGACATGACTCTTCAGCTTTATCTCTTAATTTCAGCTCATGTTAGTACAGGGACTGCTTTGTTTTATTTTGTTGCAACGTCTACCCCCACCTTGGCTTCTCAAGGGTGAGGGAAAGGGACCATAGAAGATGATGTGGGAACCATCCTTTTTGAAGGCACAATCTACAAATAGAAATGAACATCCTTTGCATAAGCTAATAGTCACTAGCTTCCAGGTCCCAGGGAGGGGAACACCTGGTTACACCTTAAATTACACAGAAGGCAGGTCTAATATTTATTGTTCATTCACATTTCTTCCAGCCTGGCTGTAGTTCACTAGTCAGGAGTTACTTTTACCATAAGCAATGCTGCCTGGTTTAAAAGAAAGAGAAAAAAAGCTGTAATTTCACTATTTTAAGTTTTCAGGGTAACAGCTAGGAGAAGGTGAGCCCAAGATCACAGGATCACATGATCTTTTCTTCTAGCTGCTCAGTAGATAGGAAAACCTGAAAACTGATTTTTCTTCTTTTCATCTTCCTTTCTTTTTCTGCTTTACTTCTTTGTCTAGTCTTTTGGTCTCTTTATGGTTTAAGCACTTTTAAGGAAAAAAGTCTTTATTGTCACCTTAGATTTCAGGAGAAAACAGCTATATGTGTGTGTCCTTAACTATATTTAATGAAAAATTCCAAGAAATAATTATTTAATATCTACTCAATTAACACACATTGCACATCATCACATAATTCTCTTTAAAAATGAATGTTATATGAGTGATTTTTTTCACTGAAGAGCAAAATGCAATGTGATTGGTAAAAACAAAATTTATTCCCTCGTGTTACAGAAAGAACATGATAGGATGTTTTATTTATTTAATTATTTCTCTTAAAACTTTTTTTCTTTATTGATTATTTAGCGAGAGAGAGGGAGAGATAGAAACATCAATGAGAGAGAACATCGATTGGCCGCTTCCTGCATGCCCCCCATTGGGGTGCTTTTTCCCCTAATACAGCGTATATTCATATACATGAGCTGAGAAGAAGAGAGGGGTTAGTAGAAAAATATCAGAGTGGAGTACATTTTAAAATTTCTGTAGTTAATATATATCATTGAACGAATTGCAATCCTTGAGAATTTTTAAAATTTGGTATTGTGGAAGAATACATTGTATATTTCTGAATGTACATTCTATGTGTGCATTTTAAATTATTTATTTTAAGGTTCTATGTCTTCTATATTACATCAAAGAAAAAAAGTACCATAAAACCTCAATAATTTGGAGAAATGAGGAAAGATCACCTTGAATCCTTAAAATTTAAGTAAAAATATGTTTAAAAAATGGTTGTTTGAATAATTTCAAGAAAAACAGTATTTTAACACTGCTAAGATAATTCTGTATAAGATTCTTTTAGATTTACTTTAAGAAATAGATTATTATTTGTTAGAAAACTGATTACTTTGAATTGGACTCTTCTAAACACTTCATATATTTAATTATTGAGCATGCTTGGATTGTATTGATATTGCTAATATAATATGTATTTACATATGTTTACTTCTGGCCTAGCTTCAAATTACACATTATGATTTAAGTTGAATGAATTGGTAAAATCATATTTTTTATACATTTGACTCTGTCACAAGTTGAACCAGAATATTAGCACTTTATGTTTTTCTTCATTGTATTCTTCATGAGTGTTTATTGTGTCTATATTCATTATAAAGGATGATTCATTGATCATATTAAATACTTATGAATTGGAATGCTTAACTAGAAATTAACACACATTGATGAAATTAATTGTAATATTATAATTTTAGTTTCTTTAATGTTACATGTTCAAAGAAAAGTGAAGAAATGGTATTCTAATTGTTAACTTTTATATTATTTTGCAGGTGCATTTTCTTGATTATAAATCAGTACCTTTTGATCGGAAAATGGAAAACCTAATGCAGATTAGGGAACTAGCAAAGGAAGTGAAAGAAAGAAATATTTTACTATGTGGCCTTCTCATATATTACCCACAGGTAGGTAAAATATTGTTCTCTTCAGATATATGTTCTGTAAACTGTAGATTTAATACTGGAAATCCTATTTTGTTCAAAGCAAAGAGACATTAATAAGAAAAAAATAGGCTGGAAAATTACTTATCTATTTATGTTCTGCAGTAGATAGAACCTCTTGAGGGGAAAAATCAAAATCAAAACAAGTGTTTTGACTAGGGAAAAAAAAGATGAAAATTGGCAAATATGTCATGGTTGGTAGCCCACATAGAATTGCCAAAAAGTAAACAAACAAAAAACCCAAACAATGCCCAATTAAATTTGAATTTCAAATAATAAATAATTTTAAATATGTTGCAAATTTGGAATTTGAAATTTGAAATCCAAATTTAACTGGACTTTTGTATTTAACTGGAAACCCTAATGTCACAACTCTTAGCCAATTGTGTAATTTTGAATCGCTTATTCTTTTATGTTATGATAAAGATGTTGGTGAACAAGTTTTTAATCACTTGAAAGCAGTGCTTGACATTCAGATTACAAGAGGACATGTTATTTAATTAGAGAAAACTCATCTTTGTCAACTGTCTTTTAATAGCAATGAGTTAGTTAAGCTGAAGGTAAAAGGAATTAGCATTATACATTCTTTGTGCAGAGAAATGTTATATAAATCAAATATTTGGAGAATCTGTTAGAGAAGGTGGATTTGCCTTTTATACATAGATACTTTTCATGGAATTTGCAGAATGCTTCATAGTTTCTTAGAGATACCACACAGGAGTCAAAGAAATGAAATAGTCAACTGCTTTTTTAATGGTTTAGAATAAAAATTATTTTGTACTGACTGTCCAGGATATGACAGGTATTCAGAGTTAGATGGCTGATGAATAGCAGCTATTGTGGCTGAAATATTTAAGGTGCCTTTTTAGCCTGAAGGTAACATTTTTTTGGAAACAAATGTTTAATTAAATATAAGGATTATCTTATAGCCAGTTCTTTGGTTTTCTTTAACTTTTGAGGTGGTTTTCTCATCCAGAACATGAAAGCATGACCTACGGTTAGTCATCAAGAACAAGGCGAAGTTTAGTTTACTTAGGATCATGGAATCGTAAACTGTTAGTGCTGTAGGGACTACTGGTGTCAGGACAACCAAAGTCTGTAGAGATGCATGAACTTGCCCAGGGACATGTAACTGGCAGAGTTCAGGAATGTTTCCTCAATTCTCATGGTGGGAAAAATAAATCAGTTCTTTCTCTTGTGCCATGCAATAATCATAGACGCACACTAATGCTGCACTATGCAGACATAAAATAGAGTTCACTGAGGACAATCTCTGAAGCTGAGAAATGGTAGAGCACACACAATCCCTGGAACGCTCTTCGTCCTATGATTTAGGCTAAGCACAAAGGGCCGGGATGCACTGTAGCTGACATGCCCATGGCAAATATGGTTGCCAGATGAAATATAGCACTCCTGGTTAAATTTGAATTTCAGATAAACCATAATTTTAGTATAAGTATATACCAAATATTACATGGAACATACTTTCACTAGAAATTCTTCATTGTTACTCTGAAATTTAAATCTAACTGGACATCTTGTGTTTTTATTCGCTAAACCCAATATCCCTTGTCAAGTTTATATTTACCAGAAAACTATTCATTTTCCCATCCCTGGTATGTTCCACACATTTACAGAGTATATGTGACTCTGCCTGCGAGGCTCCCTGTGGAAAGGTCTCCTAGTTGGAAAGGAGGGACCTTTGCTCTCTACTGCTTGGTATCTGACCTTTGTTGTTTTGAACAAAGTTGGACCTGCTAAGCCAGCAGCTCTCTACTAGCTTCCAAAAGTGGGAAGAAGACCCTGCAAGGCCTTCCAGCTATGCTTTCTCTCTTCCGCTTTTGTGGTGTGAGGACCCAGAGCAGCTAAGTCTCCTGTGACACCCTGCAGGAGGTGGTGCGTGGAGTTCTGCACCTGAACGCTGGAAGGTTTTGGAGACAGTGGAGTTACAGATCAGCTTAAAGAACTATGACTCTCAGAAGGACAAGTCCTTCTCAGGCACCATCAGGCTTAATTCCACTCCCCGCCCCAAGTTCTCCGTGTGTGTGTGTGAGTTCTGGGGGACCAGCAGCACTGTGATGAGGCCAAGGCCGTGGTATCCCTCACGTGGACATCCAGGCGCTGGGAAACTCAACAATCATAAGGTAGTCCAGAAGCTGGCCAAGAAGTAGGATGCCTTTTGGCTTCAGAGTCTCACATCAGGCAGATCCCTTGAATCCTAGGCCCAGGTCTGAATAAAGCCAGCAAGTTCCCTTCCTTGATGACTCACATGGTAGCCAGAGTTGATGAAGCAAAGTCCACAAACGAGTTCTAGATGAAGGTGCTGTGTCTGGCAGTGGCTGTTGGCCATGTGAAGATGACAGATGATGAGTTTGTATACAACATCCTCGTAGCTGTCAATTTCCTGGTGTCCTTGCTAAAAAAGAACTGGCAGAACCTTAGGCTTTATACACCAAGAGCACGGTGGGCAAGCCCCGGTGGGTGTACAACGCGCAGCTTAATAACTCTTACTGCTACTATTAAAAAATACATATACCCCTCATCATTTAAGGAAGCAAAGAGAGCATGCTCAGGTGCAGCTTGTCGCTTCTTAAAAATACAGTAGTGAAGATGTTTCATATATGTGAGAATGTTTAAAATATGTTTGTCCTTGGAAACACAGGTATGAGTTGACTCTTGTAGCCCAGCAAACTGTCCAGTGCATAATTGCACTTTAAATTGTATTTACCAAAGACCCTGTGATGTTCAACAGATATGCCATTAAAAAGAGACTATGGTTAAAGAAGTGGAGAAACATCAAGGAATAAACAGACTTCTTTAATGAAAGCCTTCTCACAAATCCTTTACATACTAATGAGCATTTCATATATCCAAACTGGGGCAAGGGGTGTGCCATTTTCTGTTTTCTTCTGTAACCCTTTAACTATAGATAATTCATTGGACTAATGTAAAAACAAACTTTGGAAAACACGTCTCATAAATATGCTTCAAGTAAAGAAACCACTACCTCGGGACACACTCTTTTTATATTTCAGTGCTAATTTTTTCATTTAGTTAAATCAGTATCTCTAGTACCGACTGCCTACTTAACAAGCATTTTGTTAACACTGCGGGCATGAAAATATGTCAGGCGAATCTTTTGTTCACTGTTTAGTGAAAAGAGTGTTGGTTTCTGCTTTCCATGGTGTTGTGAGACACAACTTTTTGTAGTGTTCCTACAGTGGACATTTCTCTAAATCCAATTCATCTCTGTGATAGCCTTTTGTTTACATAGATAGTTATTGTGTATTCTTTTCAGTCTCTGATCAGTAAAGTGTTACTAGATTTTATCTCATTTTGCATAAGACATAACATCAAGTGTTTCTTCTTTGGATAGGTTTTCAGTTTATTGATAGTCCCTTCTTGGAAGAGAGAATATAGTGAATTGACTTTAATATCTGTGCTATACATATGGTCTTTCTGGCTTAAAGAAGACCTGCCTTGTTATGATGTGATATTTCTGGTAATGTAGATGATCTTGATTTTTTGGCTGTACCTTCACAGTGTTGATATATTTGATGTTTATAGTTAAATAGAATTATGTAAGACATTTCTTTTTTAAACACATGAAGCTGTTAAGCTTCTATTTGTGTTTGTGTAGAATTCTTTTACACACATGTATAAGACTTTCTGTGTTTGGTAAATTTAAACTTGGTTTCTTTTCCAGTATTTCAGTCTTTTATTATCTTTTTTGATGTAAAATATAGCATATGACTAGTTAGCTATAGTTTCTTTCTTCATAGAATTTACAAATTGGGTATTGTCTATATTTTGTAAACACCTTTAGGAAAAACTGATGATTTGGGAAAGGCTAAGGATTGATATCCTATTTTTTTCTTTTTAGTATTGATAAATGTTCTTCAATGCTGTTTGTGACCAATTAATGATGACTTTTTGATAACTCAATAACTGGCAAACTCATCTGATTTTATACTATTTAAACTCAGTTTCCTTGTATTTTCTTTACTGATACAAGAAACTTTAACAGATGTTTTACTTACCTCTAGATATGCTTCATATGTACATATATATATGCATTTTGTCTAATCATAGAGACATTATTTGTGAAATTTTTGAATATGCTAGATCCTTAGTGTCATCAATGTAGTAAAGCACTAATTAAAATCCCCCCCCCCCCACAGTTGACTTTAAAGTATTCTAGTAACCTCAAAAATTAATAATTTAAAATAAGTTCTTCGTGAGTATCTCAAACTTAGACTTAAGGATCAGGTGACTGGCCTGACCAACTACATATAGTATATGTCATCCAGTGCTCAGGTCCTCAAATTGTTGATAAATATGAAAAGATTTGAAATTTATGCTCTAGACAAGAAATGCAGCATAAAGTTTACCTTCGCAACTTGTTTAATGAATTTAAATCAGGTCCTATCTTTCTTTCTAAAATAACCATACAGACACAACTATGAGTAATATTAGAACCAGATTTTATAGTTTAATCCATATATAGGAGCTTAGTCCCCTTTTGAGTATAATTTTAAATGATTCTAAGCATAAAATATTACTCTTCATTCATCCTGTTATTCTAGCTTTGTTATACAAGTCATCATTGAGGACTAAGATATAAAATTATGTGTTTGGGGAACATGTTCTAATTATTTGAAAATCTATATCTAATTATATAGCAGTGAACTTGTAGAAAGTATTTCTGGAATGAACTATTTAAGCCAATACCTTATTAATTTATTGCAGTATTAATTTAATTGAGGTCTAAAATATTTTTATGATGACTTTTATTTTAAAAAAATTTTTTTTTCTTTATTGATTTTATGGAGAGAGGAAGGAAGAGAGAGAGAGAGATAGAAACATAGATGAGAGAGAACATCGATTGGCCACCTCCTGCCTGCCCCCCACTGGGGATTTGGCCCACAACCTGGGCATGTGCCCTGACCGAGAATCGAACCAGC